GAAGGTTGAGAACCGCTGCCCTAGGGGAAGGCAAGGAGTCTCTCAGGCACATGACTTCCCTAGTGCTGACCAGGAAATTCCAGGTTGACTGGTTAAAGGTCACATTCCTGGGAGGGGCTGAAACTGCAAAGAAGTCCTGCTTTGCTGACATGGGGCTTAGCAAAACTGACTCCATTTTGAACCTATTGTTTTTCCTTTTCTTCTTCTTCTTCTTCTTCTTCTTCTTCTTCTTCTTCTTCTTCTTCTTCTTCTTCTTCTTCTTTTATTAAGAGCTCCAAGGTGGGGGGTGGCCAGTTAACTCAGCTGGTTAGAGCGCAGTGCTCATAACGCCAAAGTTGCCGTTTCAATCCCCACATGGGCCACTGAGATGCACCCTCCACAACTAGATCGAAACAACTACTTGACTTGGAGCTGATGAGTCCTTGAAAAACACACTCTTCCCCAATAAAAATAATAATAAAAAGAGTTCCAAGGTCCAAAGAACTACAACCTCTGAACCAAGGGGAACCTTGAGGCATCAGAGGAAGGACAGAGCTGAGCCCGTGGAGGATGAGAAGTTTGACATGGAAGAGTCCCTGAGCTTTTGTAAAGATCTCAGCATGCACAGACCAGGAGAAGAAATATGAGTGAACATGGTGCAAACATGGGTGAAATTCTGCACATGCAGCTGGGGAAGGGTTGGAGAACCAGGGATCAAGGACAGAACCCCGCCTTTAGTCACCAGAGCAGGAAACTGCGGGCTTTTTGCAGATCCAGAGATTGCTGTTGCCACATTTGGAGTCATTCCAGCCCTTGCCCTTGAATTCTGCACAATCTTCCTCCCCTTGGCTGTTAGGTTCTCCTTTGTTCCAATACTCTTGGAAGCTTCAAAGGCCACCCAGACCATTAGCCCCCATCCCACTCTGTTAATGGTGTTTCTAGCTTCTGTTAACATGATGCTTTCATTTAAGGCCTTGCACACATATATAATGGGCTTGCCTTGTTCTGGACAGCCCCATGACATGCCTGGGTCAAATTGCTTTGGCCTCCTGCCCCTACAATTTTAGCAGGAGCCCTTCTCTCCAGAACATGCTTTTCAAACATAAACCAACCAATCCAGAGCCCACACCCTCCAACCATATTAGTAATCAGGCCCTCACACTCAGGACCACTATCCCCCTCTTCTGATCATCCTAGGGCCAGACCCAGACAACTAGGGTCAGCCCCTCTGCCCCAGAGCCTGCTGAAAATTTTCAAATGATCCAATTCTAGCCTGCTCATACTGCCTTGCCCACTCCTTTTCATGAAAACCACAATAAAGACTCTTGCCCACAGTTCTTTCACCCCCTGTGCCTCCAGATCAACCCTGGTGCTTCCCCATGGGGCACCTCTGCACCATGATGTGTGTTTCTTCTCGTGGAATCTGTGACCATAACAAACTATCTTTTCAAATGTGATCTGACCTGTAGGCCTCACTATACCTCAGATAGTCTGCTCACATACACCCACTCAGCCTGCAAGCTCCTACTGAAGTTCTGAGGGTGCAATTTTGGGCTCCTGCTATGCTATTGGGACATGGGCATGTGGAGACCACCTTCCTCAACTCAGTGAAAATCCCAGACTCTTAGGTCCACTCAGGGAGTAGGGGAGGATCCCCAGGTAAAGCTCACATCAGGGTTCACTCCCCTTAATAGAGGGTCCCCTTTGCCTGAGACTTACCTGGTCAACAGGGTTGAATTGTCCACCCAGTGCCATGTCCCTTCATGTTTCAGGTCTGAGAGCCCTATCCAGCTGAAGTGGTTACTTTTGGAGATCTGCAGCTGCAGGAAGTTCTGGTGGATGGAGAGAAGTCAGGAGGGAGCTCATCCCCCCCGCTTCCCGGGCTCAGCATCTCCCAAATCTCTTGGTGGGAACTTCTTTCTTTAGTCTGACCTTCAGCCTTTTAGTTTGACAGATCCTGGGCCCCTACGTGCACTCAGGGTGTCTGAATTTCTCTCACATCTGTAGCCTATGAGCACATCTGTTCTGACTTGCAGACGTAAGTGCACAACTGGACTCTCATCACGCATACTTGGTAACACGACATGGCTATGGGTCTTACATGCGCTAAGCATGTCCACACGAATTTACTCAGCCTCGGTTGAATGTTCTGGAACCAGAAGGAACCAGTCTGTGAAAGCTGCTCATGCACGTCTCTTTTCAGCTCTGCATTGAATGACATCACGTTGATAGCTTGAAATCAGCCATGGTGGGAGAATTCACACCAGGGAAATTGGCAACTGTTACCAATCAGGGCTTTTGCTCTCCCAAAGAGCTAGTAGTTAAACATTTGCCAACACACCACTGGGGTTTGATGAAACAAATAAAGTTAATGGGAGTGGGCTTGTGAGCTGGCAGGATGGGACAGGCGAAGAGTTAACAGGAGCGAGCTTGTGAGTTAGCAAGAATGAGCTTAAACATTAACTGCTTGGTCTCACTCTCCTGGCTAGCACTGCACCTACAAGCTGACAATCACCTTACACCCATCATAGGTAGGAACAGAACAGTTCACAACCGCAATGGTAACCCCCTGCACACTAACAAACACCCAACATGGATGGGAACAGAACAATTCCCAGGAGAAGACAATTGTAATGGCAGCTCCCCTGCAAGCTGACAAGCACCCTACATCCTGCTTGGAAAAATATAAAATCCTAGCACTCCTACTCATTGGAGCAGATGTCCCTCATAGGACTCTGCCCTGACAAAACTTCTGCCAGTTCCAAACAAAACTCTCTCTTTCTTTTTGACTTTCAATAAACCTTTTCTCTGGATACTCCTATAGAGTCTTGTAAATTATTTTACATTATGCGAACGACCAGGGGTTACTTCTACACCAAGACAAGGTTTACTTATATTTTATGTATCCCCCAAAACACTCACACATGTTCAGATCTTGTTTGTACCTCCTTGCAAATTGCCTGGGACCCTCTCATTCATATTCTTCCCTTCCCCACCTTTCCAAGTGGACTAAGCAGCCCCTCTCCCAGAACATCCGCTCTGATCATCTCATCCCCAGTTGACCAGTGGTCACATGCATGCCCCTGGCCAGGTCAGATCCCCGATAGGACAGGTGTACCTGCTCCTCGGCACTTTTGATCACCACGAGTTGGGCCCCCACGTCCTGGCAGGCAATGACGGATTCATGCCAGTTCCTCTGGGAGTTGGAGAAGAAGTAACAGTTTCCTAAGAAGAAGGTCCACTCGCAAGGACATGGGCGGCACAGGCGAGCTGTTAGGGAAAGCGAGCCAGGGCTGGGACCCAGCCACGGACACCCCTATCCCTGCACCTGCCCACTCTAATCCCTTGAGAGCCGGGGTCCCTCCTGACTCCACATGCCACATGGACCATTCCCTTCTCCACTTCCCGCGACTCCCTCTCAGCCCCCAGAGAATGCAGAAGGACGAACTCTCATCTCTTCTGGGCTGGGAGGAATAGAACATTTATAGCTCAGAACAAGAGACTGGTTTAATTTAGTGCCCACTGTATGCCTGGCCCCCGGGGACACCACGTGCCATCATCCTCGTTATTCTGTGTTCCTATTTCACAGATGAGGAGCTGATGTTCATAATGAAACCATGATGCAAACAGAGTCACATCACACAGAGACCCTTCCAGGACCCTGGACCCCAGTTTCCGGCCACTTACCCAGTCCAGACTTCAGCTGGGTCAGTTCCTGGTAGATTTCCTTCTGCTTTGAGTGCTCCAGCCCCTGGGGCCTGGGGATGTTGGAGACTATACAAGAAAAAAAGAAACCAATTATTAAACAACCACTCTGCATCATGCCCTACACTGGACCCTCAGGGACATTGTAGAGTCAAGGTCTTGGTTAGTCCTGTTAGAAGATGAGGAAATTGAATGTCCAGAGAAGTTCACACCAGAAGGACAGGTGGAGCCAGAAATCCTCCCTCTGCCCCTCTCCCTCTCTTCCCCTGCACCCCTGTACCACAGAAATGGAAGGGGCTGTGGAACAGGTCCCCAGAAAGCTGACCAGGAAAACCCACAGGGACCTGAGTCCTGGCTTTCAACCCCACTTCCTTCTGGGACTTGTCCCCTTCTCCCGCCCAAGGCTATACCTGTAGCCGAAGGACCCATGCCTGGGAGCCCGACTTCAGGGTCTGCCCCTGACCTTGAACAAGGATGGCCACCAGGAGTCCAGCGAAGAGTGTAAAAGAGAAAAGCAGCAGCACCTGGGAGGCCCGGCCTGGTCCCAGACACCCTGAGAGAGACAAGGATGGACTGTTCCAGCATGCCTGTGTCCCTGCTTCTGCCTGCCCCATCGACAGCCTGTTCCTTTTCCAGGATCCAGCCCCCACCTTCTCCAAGACCCAGGAGTCCAGAGCCCTAGCCTCCACCCCCCAAGATCCAGGAATCTGGCAGTAGTCATCTGTCCCCTGTTCCCCGTCCCCTAATTCTATTGTACCTGTGAAAGTCTTGAAGCCCGGGATCTGTTGGAATCCAAAGGCTGGAGGGGAGAGTCTGTTGCTGCTGAGTATCAGGTCTTCGTCCTCTGAGTGGGCAGAGCACTGACTCAGAGCCTGGACGAGCTGAGACCAGACCTAGCCATCCCCTTACCCACCGACCCAAGATCCAAGAGTCCCCACCCAGCCTTACCCAGGGAGCCGATCTGCTGTGCCATCAGTTCCTTGGGGTCACACACGTCCACCACTGTCTCCAAATGCTTTGTGCAGGATCCAGAGGACCACGGCTTTTATTTCCAAGCCTGGGATGCTCACTGCCAGCATCTACCCTCACGCAGGAAGGAAATAGGGAACTGGGAATTGACACATCACCAGAAAGGCAGAGGGTGGGGGCTTCTAATATGAATTGAGATGGGTTGGACCTTCCAGAAATGCCAGGCAGTGCTGGGGGTGGTCTGGGGTCGGGTGGACAGCGAGAAGGACTGGTCTGCTCACGTCAGGGCCGGCTGTGGGATGCTTTTGATGAAATCCGGTAACATGGAAAGTGACGCTAATTTGTTATTCTTTCTCCATGTCGGGCAGGGGTGAGCAGGCAGCGCCCCCAATCTTCAGGATCTGCTGACTTGGCTTTCTGAATGTCACATTTATGGTGATTTCTGCTGACTTTGGAAGCTGCAGCTGAATCACAATTGCTTATGGTTTTTTTTTCTGTTTTTTTTTTTTTTTTAAGATTTTTATTGGGGAATTGGGATGGGAACAGTGCTGGGGGATTGGGGGAAGGGGAACAGATAAGTTGCTGTCGTTTTGTTCTTCAATCTAGTTGTGGAGGACGTTGCTTCACTGGCCCAAGTTGGCACCATCATTGCGCTCTTCCCTGGCGAGGCAGATCAGTCACCGGCTTCTTGGACAGCCGCTCACTGCGGCTGCTGGCCGCTCACGCTGGCTGCTGGCTACACACGGTAGCCCATAGCAGCCCACTGCCACAGGGACTGCAGCCTACGCAGTCGCCAGTGACTCACAGCAGCCCAGCTCCAGGTTGAGCTGTTGTTCAACATCTTAACTGTGGAGGGCAGTGTCACTGGCCCTCATATGTGGGATCTGAACTGGGGCCCTCTGGCATCCCAAGCGAGTTCTTAACCATCGCGCCACTCTGCCGGCCCGCTTATGTTTATTTAATGCCCATTATAGTGTGGGACGCTTTTCTAACTGCTTTATATACAATTCATTTACCCTTCCCACCACGGAGTAGATACTACAGCCTCCATTTTCCAGATAAGGGAAACTGAGTTAGGCCTGTGGCTTAGTCACATAGCTGGGAAATCGTGGGGCTAGAATTCAAACCCGGACAGTCCACCTCCACAGTCCACACTGTTATCCAAAGAGTATAAGGTAGTATCAAGGAGGAAACAAAAAATTCATAGAAGTTTTATTTGTAATTGTCCCAAAATAGAAAGACCCAAGTGGCCACCAGCTACAAGATGGATGGACCTTGAGGACATTATGCTTAGTAAAAGAAGCCAGACACACAAGGCCAGATACTGTGTGATTCCACTCATTGGAGGTTCCCAGAGGAGTCAGATTCACAGTGACCGAAATCATGGTGGGAGTCAGGAGCTGTGGGAGGAGAGGGGAGTGAATGTTAATGGGGACAGAATTTGAGTTTCAGAAGATGGAAAGTTCTGGAGATGGATGGTGAAGATGGTTGTGCGATTAATGAATGTGCATTTTTCAATGGTTAAAACGGTCAACTTCATGTTATCACAATAAAAACAATTTTTTTAAAACTGTGTTGCTAAGTATGCAGGCGTCAGCAGTTGATTACATATCTTGGAATTCTGAGAATTAACTTCCATGTAGGAGAAAGGAGTGAAAATGTGCTTGTTTGAAGCTTGCAGGTAATGCTATTAAAATTCAACGGTAACTTATGGGTCATGGAGAGTAACTGCTAATGGGTATGGAGTTTCATTTGTGGTGAGAAAAGAATGTTCTGGAATTAGGTAGTGGTGATGGCACAACCCCACAAACATACCAAAAACCACTGAATTATATACTTCAGAGGGTGAATTTTATGGTATGTGGTTTATATTTCAGTTTAAAAAACACACAATAGCAACCACAGTACTAGTTTAGAATTTAGACCCATGAATGATTTGGAGGGACAGGAGTGTTTTATCACTAACATTGTGTAGAATTGCCGGTTTGTGGGAATAGTCAGTTGAGAGACTTTTAGTATGTCTTATTGTTGTAATAAAATTCTCTACAGATGACAATGGCTCCACCCCTGCCTCTAATCATTATACTACCTGGACAGGAGTACGCCAACCAGAACATTCCAATGCACACTGGGAAGTAGGCAACTTCCTACTTCCATAGAACTGTGACTTTGCTTAAGATGTGCGAATTTACGTTCATACATGAAATATCTCACTGATTTAAATAATTTCCTTACAACTAAAAAAAATATGCATACAGTTTTTTCCCAAGAACTTTATAGGCATTATCTAATTTAATCCATACAATGACCCTACAGGAGGGGTGCTATGATGATCCTGTTTACAGATGAGCAAACAAGGCTCAGAGAGGTTGGGGAATAGGCTCAAGGTCACACAGAGCCGAAGTGGAAGAGCTGAGATTTGGACCCAGGCGGTCAGGCCAGGCAGTGCCTAAGCTTGTGGCTGGGTGAAGCTGCCTCTCCTACAGCAGGGCTGGGCCCTCACCCTGCTCACACCTCCAGGTCAGCAGCCACTCAGTCCAGCTGTCTGGGAGTTCAGGAGTTAGGTTGGCCCATTGAACGGCCGACTGCCTTGGCTGCCTCACAGTGGACTCCCTCTGTCTCCAAACATTCCAGACCCCAGATCAGATTCTGGAGGCAGGAAGAGGATGGATGACAGGAAAGAAAGGGTGCTTCAGGGCCCAGGTGAAGGCGACCCTTTTGGCATGCGAGGGGCTTCAGGAGGGAGATGGGGGAGTTGCGTTCAAAGGAAAAGAAAGAAAATGAATCATCATCATGATGCTGCATGGAAACCTCATCTGTAACGGCACCACTGCCCCTTCTGATTCCCCCTCTGCTTAGCCACAAGCTCTTCCGGGAGTTTCCCCCAACCTACTCTTATTCTGATTCTTGAGTGGGGGTGGTGTTTGGAGCAGAACAGGGTGGGGACACAAAACAGGCTGTCCAAGAAAAGAAAGAGGGTGCAGCAGAGAAAAGGAGAAGATGGCAGACATGGATGACCTCAAAGTGAGGGAGTCCCAGAGCAGGGCACCTTGCTATAGTCCAGCCAGACTGTGTGGTCCTGGGGGCTTGACTGGGGTGGAGTGACAATTGAGGTTCTGGGGAGGCAAAGCAGGCAGTTCTAGCAGATGCTGACCTGGTAGGTTCAGTGGAGCCAGGGATGAACAGTTATAGGTCAGAGCTATTCTCCAAAAGACCCTGAATCCCAACAGAAAGGTAGCTCAAAGGGCCAGGCAGCTAGTGTGGGTCAGGGGTAGGGGTGAGGGAGGTCAAAGATTCAGACCTGGGTACGGGAGTCCTGGTGGAGGGGGCAGTTGGGGCCTATGTTCCTGGTACTGGGAGAGTTAGGGACTGGTGTCTGGGACTTCTAGGTCCGTGGG